CCATTATCTAGTATCTAATATTTTTCTCACACCATTTCTATTTTACAAATGAGGAAATTAAGACTTTTAGTAATTATATTACTTGCCAAGTTTACAGCTAGTAAGTCACAGGACTTACGGGACTGAAATTCCATGTGTTTGACCACTAGACTTTGTTCTGCTTTCCCTTAGTCCAGACAGGTTCAACAGAATCTGGTCATTCATGAGTTTGAAGTGGCTATCCCAGCAAAATGTCATGAGCAAAATGTCATCCCAGCAAAATGTCAAATTCGAGATTCCTTTAACTTTGAGCATAAAAACCTCATTGCCCTCATGAAAGCATTTGCCAAGAAGAAAATGAAGGGATGGATCAGATGAGAAAAGAGAGATCTGTGGTTGAACTTTAGGGCAGTGTATAACAGGGGAATCCAGCTACACAAGGGCAATAGGTGTTTCTATTATAGATGGTCTGCAAAAGGTACTCCTGCATAGAGGACAATATGAGACTGGATGTTTGATAGTATAATAAATTTAGGTCCTGTCTGCAATGATGGTAGGTTGGATAAATAATTCTTGGTATAAGTAATGTCTGCTGCCTTGATCGCAAGAGTCAGCATCTAAGCAACTTGTCCAAGTCACCAAGTCTCCATGACAAAATGGAAGTATAAAATTTAAACAAACTTGTAGAAGTACAATCACTTGATAGGGTATTAGTCAGAGGATTCTATTAGAGCCAATGGGGCCTTCTAGAAACACAGGAATGATTAAATTGCCAATGCGAATGTAAACAGAAGTCTATTTAGAGAATGTACTCATTGTTTTTCATTTCTTTGATAAGTTTGCCCTGTTGTGTCTTTAGCTTGATAAGCTAATTTTTCTGTTCCACAATGATAGTATAGCAATGCTCCCTTGCAATTCAATGTGGGTCCAATTTTTGTTAAAAGCAGAGAGTTTTAAATGCTGTATAAAACAAGCAAATAAGAGCAACACCAGGACTATCGCAATAAAGAACTTACGGATTCACCATTAATTAAAATAATCATATCTAATAAAAAAGATGAGTCTAAAAATGCATTTCCCCTAGAAATTTTGAGCCATTAAGATTAAAATAAAAAAACCTTCATGAGTAAACCAACCATTTCACTTAGCACCTATGGCCTGAACTGAGTGGGCTATTGCCTATCAGTCACCACAATTTTTGTTGTTGTTGTTGTATCTATCATTATAACTGTTATACATATAGCAAAATCCATAAATGTCAATGAATCAGCTTTGTGGAAGTTATAACCATGGCAGTTCATGAGATTTAAATAGTAATCTTAAGAATTCTCACTTTGTTATCTTTTATTAGAAATTATTGATGAGCAGGTATAAATGATTGTATCTGCAAAAGCAACTGAGGCATATAAAA